TGTTGATGCCATGAACAGACTGTGCAACAATAAGGCACCTAGAGAGGACGGTATACTCGCTGGCACTCTGGCGCCTTGAATCCATGAGATGATTGGACAAGCGTGGAGAGACGATGTTGTTCCTCTTTAATGGGGTGCAGGCATCCTTATGCCTGTCCACAAGAAGGGAGATGAGACAAGATGTAAGACCTACCGTGGCATAAGCCTCATCAACGTTGCTGCGAAGATCTTCGCCACTGTTCTCCTCAGGCGAATTCAGTCTGTGTGTGACTTCAGAGCGCGAAACAACCAGGCCGTATTTCTCGCTGGGTGTGGATGTGTGAATGAGATATTCACACTGACACGGATCCTTGAATTCCACCATAGCTACCAACAACCAACGGCTGTCTGCTGTGTTGACTTTCCCACTGCGCTCGATTCGGTCCTTCGTGAATCCCTATGGCGGATAATGGCAATGGATGGTGTACCAGGAATAATTATTGCCATGATTAAGGAATACTACAGCTCCATAACCGCGCGGGTCCTGGCCCATAACAACCTCTCAGAACCCTTCGCTAGTCAGTCTGGTATTCGAAAAGGCTGCGTCCCGTCATCCATCCTTTTTATCTACGCCATTGACTGGATTCCGAGGAAGGCTCAACGTAAAGATAACGGTATTGAACTTGCACTCGGACGCAGGTTGACTGAGCTCGACGATGGCGATTATATCGCTTTACTAGTTTCAAGTCACTCTATGGTGTCACGGGTGGCCGACGACGATACGTTTTATAGCTCATTAAGTAAGATGATGCGGGTTGTAATTAACCTACACTGACAGGGTATTATAAGTTCTGATGAATATTCACACATTATAGTATTTTATTGAAATTGTGAATAACGCGGCTGTATTTGGATTTCCTTGGCTTGCAGGTAGTCAACCTACAGCAGCATCGAATGAAGATGAGAGATTTGAACCATCCCCGCAACCGACCTCTCATTTATTGCATCTTGATTGTAACTCTTCAGCTCTCCGACATCGTTCCGAATACCGGCCAAATACCAGTTCTACAGCTTACTCCAACTTCTGCCGCTTTGTCATCCCTCAACCAGCCTCCCTTGCCTCTAACTCACAAGCACCTTCTCAGTCGTCGGCATCTTCCTCCAGAAACTGCTCTCTCGAGCCTTCCCTACCCATTCGACAGCTCTGTCCCACGGACTCACCAGCGAGGCTTTCTTTTAGCCAAACCTTTGATCTGAACGTGAACGTTTTCGAAGCGAACATAAATATGCATAACGCTTCTCCAGTAGTGGAGGAAGAGGCGTGCACAGACGTCGACATTGCCCTCTTCAGTAGCCTTGGGAGTGAAGGCGGCGTGTCTATGAACTCCATATGCTTGAAATCGATGGTGTCTGTTTCCTCGCCGGAAGAGATGCGTCTGCATGGGCCACTGCCGGTGAGGAGCACGAAGGACCCTAGAGCATCAAGGTAACTGCCATTTGCTTGTATGTTCCAATATACATTTTCAAATTCTCATACCGGTCGTCAGGAGAATGTTCTAGATAGAGGAATATCGCAGGAGGTCGTGAGGGTCCCTT